ACACAAAAAAAAAAGTGTATAACCAGCTCACCGCTAAAGTATTTGTCCCAGAGTGGCTTCCTGGTGGTAGAACTGGTAGTCCAGATCCTGCCCTTCAATGTTGTAGGTCCAGATATGAGATTTTCTGTATACATGCACAAATAGCCACGCTTAGGTGGAAAGATACACGTTGATGACTGTCACAAATGCCTGAAGCATAAATCAGAAAGCAAATTTGATTATTTTCAGTAACTAATAAAATTGGCAAGTCAAGCAGATAATCTTTGAAGTTTAAAGATATATTCCAATGTATCTAAACAAGTTGGTTCAGGAGTGTGGAAATGAAGCAAAGTCAGTTGAATTTTTCTATAACTTAGCATTTTTTCAACTTTGATACCTTAATGTATTCATCCTCTCTATGGGAACAGAATATTCAGAATGTTTATCTCATTAGAGCACTTGTGCCCGCCCCTATCTAATACTGCTGGAAACATATTGTGCAATTTTTAGTTTTGGGTTTCTATTTTTAATGTTCTGTTCATGAGCTCTTTCTTTAAATAATTTATAGCGTATGTTATTTTGTTTTATTTGCTTATGTTTTTACTCTGGCATTGTGAATTGGTCTATTTTCCCGTTCTCTTCTCCCTACATTTTTGAAGCATTTTTTTTTTAGGGTGGCTACGTTCTGCAGATAGCAAATGTCAGCCATGCTGTGCTGTTCATTCCTCCAGTTTACATACTGTGTACGTGATCATTTTATAGAACTACGGGTATGGCCTGATGTGCTGAGCATAGTGGAGTTCCTGAGACTGTTTACTGGGGTACACAGCCTACCGTCGCAGTTAGATGCTTTTGCTTCAGAGTAATACTGCGGTGGGGAAAAGAGAAAAGGGTCTGGAAATCACTAAAATCTTGCTATCAAGCATGAAAATAGACTAATTATTTTTCAAAGCAGTCATGAAAGCCAAATTCTCCTCCCTCTTTTTCTTGCTTTTGACCTTGCTGTAGTAAAGCCCACCCTGAACTCTATAGAGACACAAAGTAGAGTTCAATCATTTTGCAAAGGCCACAGATAACTAGGTAGGTACAACAGGAAGGTTTCACATTCCCTCAGGCAAATGTGAAGAGTGAATTTAGTCTGCTTTTTCCAGGCTCAAAGAACACAGACTTTTTTTTATGACTTCATTTTGTGATGTTCGTCAAATTTGGGCCTGGGGGCAGGAGATAGCCCATAAAATCCCATCCTAGTGATCTGATTCAATCATCAAAAGAGATACTTGGATGGCTCCTACGTTCAGGAAAGCCGCACTTAAAATATCCCCTATAAAGCTGAACTTATTAGTATTCCAAACCCTTCCTTTAAATATATTCTGCAGACTTTTGAAACATTGTTCTTACAATACTATTTGTAACATGCAAGACAAGCATGAGCACAAGTTTTAATCAGAGCAGAAACGTAGGTAGGAAGACCACCATTCCTGAGACCCTTATAGTCTTAGAGCTCTCAAGGGTCCAGCGGAAAGGCTCTTGCCCTTTGTCACTATTGTCATCCTCCAAAGCCATAAAAAAGGCATCCTTAAACTCTGGAGAGTTTAAGGAAAAAATTCCCTTTGGGGAAAAGATAATTTTTTATGGTGGGGGGAGGGTAGTACAAGAGATTTATCTAGAAGAATGAAGAATTCATTTAGAATGCCATGAATTGTCTAAAAAAAAATAAGAAAGTTATCAGAGGTATTTATAATTGTTTTAAATGAATACATCAAGTAATCAAACTATCAGAAGTGTTTATCATAATTGTTTTAAATGAATGCATTCTGCATTGGAACCTTTTTACTTACTGGTAAACTTATGGCCTTGAAAGATAATGTCTTAAGAGTGCATCATTTTTATGATACCAAGAGTGCAAAAGGTTATCGAAGGTTATCACCTCAAAACCAGAGGCTCTAGCCTGTAGTAAACTGGTGACGGATGAGGTTGTCAGATTTGGTAGCGGAATACTAGGCAGATTGTTGAATTTTGCATTCTACGGTGATCTTTTACATTTTGACAAACCCTTCTCCGTTTGGAGATGATTTAAACACACACTTATGAAACAGATTGAAACTTTTAAAGTTAAAAATTGAAATGAGAAGATTATGTGTACTTCAAAAGCATTTGCTTTGGGGTAATCATCTCTGGAAAAGTAAAACAGAGAATAGAGAAAGTTGAGAAAGCTGAATTTTTGCCCTAATGTCATAATTCACTTATTCTCTAATCTTCTGACTCTCTTAAGTGTCCAAGTTTCTTGTCACTTGGAAAGGAAGCTCCACACAGGCAGGGATCATGGTTTTTATTTTTAACTGATGTATCCCAATTGCCAACAAAGTGCCTGGCATGTAATAGACTCTCAATTTATATTTATTGAATAAATAAATCCATGAAATAGTATTCATCGTAGAAGCTTCTCTGCATTTTGCTTGAATGTTTCATGGGAGGAAAAAAAAAAAAAATGAGACAAAGGAACTTGACCTCCCTGGAAAAAGATTGTTACATAAATCCAGTTTGCTATTGTGGTTGCTTTTCTTTCATTGCTTATACAACCTTCTGAATCCAAATCGTCTTTGAAACCCGTAGTAGTTGACATTTACCAGAGGTAGTAGGATAGCAAATCTCAGTCTTGTTCACCTCCTTTGGTGTGGTCTCACTCCCTGCTCCAACATAGTAGTGAAAAGCTAGGGCTTTGAATAATAATATTCACCACTAGTTCTATGGCCATGTTATTTAGGGGGTTATATCAAATGAAGACAAGGGTTATATCAACTCAAGGATAAAATGAGATAATTCATATTAAATTCTTTGTACAGTGTACCACATGGAAAGCCCTCCACAGATGTTCTTCTCAAGTCATGGTTTTTCCTGTATGTTTTTCTATTTAAGCATGTGCATCAGTTTCCTAGGGCTGCCACAAAGTACCACGAATCAGGGGTTTCGAACAGCAGAAATTTTTCTTCTCACGTTTCTGTAAACTGAAAGGCTAAGATCCAGGTGTTGACAGGACCATGCTCCCTTTGAAACCTAGAAGAAAGAGGTCTTTCTTGTGCATACCGCCTTCTGGTGGCCGAGACTTTCCTTGCCTTGTGGCAGCATAGCCCCTACCTCTGTCTGTCTTCACGTGATATTCTCCTGAGTCTCTTCATGAATTCCCTCGGTGTGTATCTGGGGCCAAATTTTACCCATCTCTATACCTTGAATCCAGGTATATTGAATTAGGCCCACCCTAACAACCTCATTTTAACTTGGTTACCTCTGTAAAGATCCTGTTTCCTAATGAGATTATATTCTGATGTCTACGGCCATGCCACCCTGAACATACCCCATCTCATCTGATCTCGGAAGCTAAGCAGGGTCGGGCTTGGTTAGTACTTGGATGGGAGATTACACTCTGAGGTACTGGGTTTTAGGACTTTAATACATTTAGGGGAGGAAGAGATGTAATTCAAGCCCTAATAGCATCATTCTCTTTCTCCTCAACTATGTGTGTTTCCTTCCTCAAAGACAAAGTATATAATACAGCACCAAATTGGGAGTTTTCAGGTTTAAATTCAACTGTGCTACTATCTATACCAAATGAAGTCAAATTCTACAAGCCTGGGTTGCTTCACTGTAAAATAAAATGGCTATGCCAGGTGATTCTACCATGTCTTGTACCTCCAAAAGGTCACGTGTATAAGGTCACGTGTATAATGTGTGGTTGGCCCTTTTTTTCTCAACTATGATCTTTGCCTCAACTGTCCTTGATACTCTGTCCATCTTTATGTCTTTGTAACTAATCATAAAGGTTCTGACCATCACACACAGACACACACACACATAGGTAGGTGAGGTAGAATAATTGTTAATTGGCTTGATTTAGCAATTTCACAATACATACATATATTAAAATGTTATGTTGTATACCACAAATGCACACAATTTGTACTTGTCAATTTAAAAATAATAATGATAAAAAGAGTTCTGATATAGCTCATGGAATTTTCCATCATCTCAATATATGCTTGGAAATCCCACTATCTAAAATGCTATTTAATGGGTAAATTTTTTTTTCAAGTGAAAACTTCGTTAGATTTAGTTTGTTGAAATATCTACAATAATGCCAGGGAGCATTTTTGTGCATATTTTTGTTGTTTTTTTGACTTTTCTAATATTTATAAATAGACATCATTTGCATTCCAAGCACCCTCCTTTTAGAAATTAGATCCAAGGTATGAGGATTTGTGCTATGTGTCTTTTCTGATTACTGTATAATATGACTTGTGTGAAATTTTCCAAAAGTGAGAAGATTAGGAGGAAATGCAAAATGAAAGTAGCCCCCCCCATACGTGGTTTTGCTTTCTGTGTGTGTAGTCTCAGTTACCAGTAATCAGCCACAATCTGAAATTATTTAAATGGGAAATTCTAGAAATGAACAATTCATATGATTTAAATTGTGTGCCTTCCGATAATGTGATGAAATCTTGTGCTGTCCTACTCTGGCCCCTTCAGGACTTACTTGTAGCATCCCCTTGTCCAGCACATTAGCGCTCAGTACATTACTTCCCCAGGAGAGACTTGGAAGCCATCTTGGTTATCAGATCCACGGTTGCAGTATCACCATGCTTATGTTCAAGGAAGCTTTATTTTACTTAATAATGACCTCAAAGCCATATAAATTTGGTAATTCTATGCCTTTGGACATTTACTGTGGATCTTGGAATGTATCCCCCAAGGATAAGGGGTCTACTGTAAATTCTGCCACTGAATCACAAACTGCTGCCAACTTCCTGCAAGTTGGCTTAGACTACCATTATAGAAGTACTTGAAAGTCTACTCTGCCATGGCTTGAAGAAAATTTAAGAAAGAAAATAAAAAAGAACTCTGCACCAATTCTGTCACATGTTTAGGGTTGACTACTGACAGATTCAAGATAATAGAGTGGCATCTTCCTGGTCTCATCTGAGCACTGCTGCCCTAGGTGTTCACGGAACTATTTCCTTCTCTTTCAGCTTCCTCCATTCTCAAGAGGGAGAAGCGGCTGAGGACAAAGAATGTGCATTTCAGTTGTGTCACCGTGTACTACTTCACCAGGAGGCAAGGCTTCACGAGTGTGCCCAGCCAAGGGGGCAGCACCCTGGGCATGTCCAGCCGCCACAACAGCGTGCGCCAGTACACTCTGGGCGAGTTCGCCAGGGAGCAGGAGAGGCTGCACCGGGAGATGCTGAGAGAACACCTCAGGGAGGAGAAGCTGAACTCCTTAAAACTAAAGGTAAAGAACACAAAAACTCCCCTTTGGAACCGTATCCATTTTATATTCACAAATCAAACTGAACGTTTTACGTAACAGACTGTATGCTGAAGCTTTTTTTTTTTTTTTAAGCAAAACAATATATTCTCTTCACTGAAAACAGTGTGGGAGAATTACCTGACTTCACTTATTCATTCATTCCCCAAATATTTACTATTGAGTGTTGCTAGATTATATGCCTTGTGCATGGACTCGGGCTCACAGGTGACCAAAAATAGATATGGTCCTCTCTCTATAGGACTTAAGAGATTGATAGGAAAGAAAAGTATTAGTTAAGGTGTCGTGAGTGATATAAAGGGAAGTTGTGAGGTGCTACAGAAGTGTGTAACAGAGCACTGATGTGGTCCGGCAGGTCCTCACATGTGAGGGGGCACAGCAAGAGGAATGAAGCAACCTACCGGAGGCAGGGGTGGGGCTTTGTATACCACATTAAGGTGTTTGTTCCTGTTCATCTTAAAGCTATCGAGAGTTTTAAGCTCAGAGTTGGAGTAGCAGGATAATACGATCCAGATCTTACAATGATGTGAGAATCATTCTGGGGCCCTAGTCTATGCTGTATTGGGAGGGGAAGGGACATATGGAGTGAGACTAGTTAGAAGGCAATGATAGTAGTCCAGGAGAGAGGTGGCAACTGGTTGGATAAAAATCAGGGGAGATAAAGAGAAGATGGATAGATGGAGAAATTTGGAAAAGAAAACTGACAGTGTTTAATGACAGATTGGGTTTACTGGGAAGACTGTCAGCAATGACCTCTAAATTTCTGGCTTGCAAAACTGAATGGGGTCATAGGTGATAGTACTATTTGCTATGACAAAGATATAACAAAAATCAGAGGAAGACAAACAAGTTGTGGGTGCAGTGTGGATACATGAGATCATTTTTGGACATGTGGAATTGGAGGGGATTTTGCTTATCAAAAGATGTCAGGAAAGTATCCAGGAGGAGAAACCTGTTGCTGTCCAACTTTAGAGATTAAGCAGAGGGAAATACAACACAGAATCTCATGTGTTGACTAAAGACATGCGTCATATTTTATTGGTCCATCACCTTATCAGTACATAGGAAATATTCTCTCCTTATAATCTAATGAGAAAGAAAATCTTCCTTGAGTAATCCAGGGTAGTTAGCACAGGGTCCTTAACTCCCTGAAGTACCTTAGGCCTGCCTGTGCTACCTTTACATTATTATCCAGTGTAACATCAGTAAGCAGATGTGTGATGTGTATTTCAAAACACCTTGTTTTATGTATTTAGAAATTAATGTATGTGCCTCATTCCCAACTGCACAACAAGGCAATTGCTTAAATTGAGCTGGACACCACCTAGCCTGGAGCATGTCTCAGATTTCCTTTAGCATTTTTGGCAAGATTCCCTGAAAGCTCCAGATTTCATTGAAAGTGTTTTAGTAAGAATCCACTTGTATTGCTCTTGTTTTCACAATTGCTTTGCATGTAGCTTAAGTGAGTGTTAATTCTCAGATTTGTTTCTTAAATCCACCCTCTGCCTTAGTAACCCACTTTAAACTAACACTGTCCTATGTTTACCCAAGGAATGAAGTCATTCTCCAAATTCAAATATTGGTAGAACAGTAGTTATGGCTGCCAATCATGAAGTGATTTTTATTTGTCAGGCATTTAAACAACATTATTTAATCTAATCCCCACCAAGACCCAGTGGGATAGGTAAATCATTAGAACATGTTTACAACTGAGAAAAAAGAAGCACAAAGATGTTAACTAACTGGCTCACTCAAGTAGAAAACTGATGATATTATCTTGTTACTCTAATTCTTAAATTAATTGATTATCCCCTATAGGCGCTGAGAAAGACAATCTTTGTACCTATGGGGAGTCATCCTTTTCTGGGGGTTGGCACTGTGTGCAATGGTTTTTAACATCTGGGAGACAATAATACCATCTGAGAACCAAAAGATTTAATGTGGTGAACTTTGAGACGCATTGTACATGTGATGAATGTTAGGGGAAGCCACAAATCTCCAGCAGCCTTACCCTATGGTCTACGTATTATAATTTGTACTCAACTACTTCCATATTTTTTTCAAATAAGCTGAACAAGAAAACTAGAAACAGAAAGAGCACTGTACTATTGATTTGTTTTTTAAATTATATTTGGTATGGGATGTTGGAGAGGCTATCATCTGAGCGGACAGCATGTCTCAATTTGTTATTGACACATGAAAACCGCATGGTGAAGACGTAAACAAAAAAATATTTGGTTATTACTGCCACTTCCAAATGAATGCCAAGATAATGGGATTCTGGGTGATCTGACCTTCACCTCACTGTACTTAACACTGTTAAGAACCACATGTCACATGAAGGCAAAAAAAAAAAAAAAATCACTGCAATGTGGACCAGTTTTAAAAAAAAAAAATCTGAGTGGAATTAATGTAGAAAAATCACATATTTTAATTATAATTCCTCTAAAATACTAGCTTTTCTGATTTTAAAATGTCATTGACTATACTTGTCTAAGATTTAGCTGTCCAAAAACATAAGCTCTCCAAAAATTTCTCTCCGATACTTGAAATTATACTCTTAACATGACATTTGTTTTGGAATATAAATACCTCTGTGCTAAATAACAAAATTCAGATGCTCCTTGACTTACAATGAGGTTCCATTCCAATAAATCCATTGTAAATTGAAAATATCCTAATTCAAAATCGCCTTTAATTCACCTAATTCACCAAACAGCATAGCTCAGCCTCGTATTTGCAAGGTGCTCAGAACACTCATATTGTCCCACAGTGGGCAAAACTCATCTGAACACAGTCCGCTGTAGATATCCGCTGTTTACCCTGACGATCACATGTCGATAAAGCTGTGCCGCTGCCTGCCTTGTTAGAGAGTTTTTCTAGACCAGGAAAATGAGCAAAATTGAAACCATAGTTTTTACTGAATGTATATTGCTTTTGCATCATCACAAAGTAAAAAAAAAACAACGATCAAGTCAAACCACAAACCATTGTAAGGCAGAGATTCTTTGTAAGTGTGACTAAGTTAATACCATTACTTTGACTGGGGATTGGGGTGGCAGAGGGGTCATTGGTACAGAAGAATGATCCAAAGAAGAAGGTGAGGACTGCTAAAGACAAACTCACACACTGTGATTTTGCCTGAGCTGGTCCTCAGTGACAGGGAGCTGCCCACTGAGTGAGGAAAGACAACATCTGATAAGACATTTTCCAAAACCCTCATTATGGAACCAGGAAAACTCATTGAACTTGGAGCTGGATAGTTTTCCTTCTATTTATTTGACAGCCAACAGTCCCAGGACAGTAAGGAGAAGTTTCTGTTTCCGTAGTACCTCGGTGTATTTCTGGAGTGTCTCTACGGGGTTCAAAACAGAGAACCCCTTTATGCAATGGAAACCACCTCCCCCATTAGAGCTTTCATAGAGAAATGTGAGGGAAAGAAGCACATACATAGATGCCTCTAGATATTGCCTTACAAAAATATTTTGAAAATGAAATAAAAATAGCAATTTGGGGTTTCATTATAAAATTGCCCTAATTTATAATTCATCTTTCTGTCAAGTTTTAAATTAGATGTACCGAGAAATAACATATACTATTACATTTGCAGAACAAATATAATTTTATCAGGGAGGTTCAAAAGTGTCTTTTTTGTCGGTGGTGTTGGTATTTCAAACCTTGTCTATAAACAACTAATAGAGAAAGTTGATTGAATAAAATGCATGTTCCTAGAAGAAATAACTAGCTTTAGATTTCTAAATTACAGAGCACAGTTCTTTTTCTCAGTCAAGCCCATTCAAACATGTCAGACTCTTCACAGTAATCAATGTAGTCATCTTAATACTATACTGTTTTCCAAATTAAGTGCTTAGAGTTCATCATCTGCACCACATTGTTGAACAATTACATTAGTCTCTATTCCCATTTTGCATGTATCTGTAAAATGCATCAGGCAGCCATTTGTATGTTGTAAAAGAGCTTTGGCTTCCCAGTCACCTCTGGGTTCTATTAGATGGAATTCTACTACCTTGTTCTATGAAATTTAGTGTAGCTTTCACAGCTTTGGCTTATCTCTGTCTCAATGTTTGTTTCAAGCACAATTGTTCTCCTTTCTGAGATCAAGAATCTATTTCCACCCTTTTTTTTTTTTTTGCAGTTTTTGGCCAGGGCTGGGTTTGAACTTGCCACCTCTGGCATATGGGGGCGGCGCCCTACTCCTTTGAGCCACAGGCACTGCCCTATTTCCACTCTTGTTACCATTTCCAATAGCCTTTCACCGTTACACACTTCTCTCCATTTCTCAGTCCCTTTGGTCCTTGAGTAAGGCTTGTTTGTCTGTTGTTCTTTCCCCATTGGGGGTGTAGGGGAGGGTTGCCCGATGGTAACTCTTCCTTTAACAGTTAATCTTTAAAAAATCTCTATGTAAAATTTCTTCATCCCAAATCTCCAACTTATAACTGTGTTTTTCATTTAGTGACCTACGCATGCAATAGTATAATTCTCCATTTCACCTCCAGCTCTGCTCTTTGTATCTCTTCAAATATTGTGATCAATTCTCTAGACAAAGGTGTTAAATTCTCTGAGAGATAACTCACACATAAGAGATCAAGGTTGGTAAGAGGTGCTTGAACTATATCAATCATTAACATTTTTAGATGTGTTTTAAAACTGTTTTCCCATACTATCGTTCTTTATGAGATGTGTTACAGCTTGCTGTCATGATATTTTTGAACTCTGCTTATGCCTACAGAATTTCTGAGTTAGACTCTGTTGAGCTACTTTTTACTCCAGAGCATTCAGAGTTTCCTGAATGCATCCCTAAACGGAGGGCCACGGTAACATCACATGGAGAACTTTGATGTGCCACATACCTCCTCGTCCTTGTGCACAACCTATTTTGACAAGTACTGTGCAAAGTGAAAGAAACCAAGAGGGCGAGCTGCGGCCCTGGACAAAAGCATCAC